TATGCAGATGATTTAGTATTGGTAGCAAAAAGTAGGATAGCGTTGATAGACATGTTGGATACTCTATGGAGATTTCTGAAAGAGGAAACAAGAATTAAATTAGGAAAAATCGAAAATATTAGTGTTTAATAAGGAAAGGAAAAAAAAGGATGGAAATGGAAAAACATATGGAAAAACATAGAAGAAGTAGATAAGATAATTAAATCTAGGCTTTATGCTCAATAGGGAGGGAAATTATAGGGAGCACATAAAAGAATTAAGTAAGAAAGGGAATATGGTAGAATTAAGTAGGAAAAGGAATATGATGAGAAAAATATGGGGATTAGGAGAGAGAGTTTGTAAAAATGATTTCTTGAGAAGATGGAACCTGTTTAAATATTAGGTACAGAGCACAGAGCAATGGCATATGCAGTAGAATTATAGGGATGGGAGGAAAAAAAACTAGAAAAAATAATGATAACCTATGTAAGATGAATATTTAAATTAGATTTCTGTACGCCGAGATATATAATTACAAGAGAACTAATGATGGATAAATTAAAAGTGGGATGGGACATAAGGACAAAGAGATATGAGGAAAGAATAATAAATAATAAGGAAAAAGATAGCTTCGTAAGGATGTGCTGGAGAGCAAAGAAGGAAGGAAAAGGAGAAGACGATTATAGGAATGGAAAGATTAGGTATTATAATAGAAACCGGAGGGGGAATAGAACTAGTAGAAAAGTTTAGAAGGGAAGAGAGAAACATAGAACAAGAAATAATAGAAAGAAAAAGGGATTTACAAAGGCAATGGGAAGAAAGCAAAATAGCAAAAGCAAGGTACAATGGGAAATATGCAGAAATAAAAACGGAAGGAAAATGTTCAGAATATTTAATGAAAGAAAAGATATTTAGTTTAGACAAGAGAAATGAAATAAGGGCAATGATGAGGCTAAGGTGTGGTAATATGGAAGAAAATAACAAGTATTGGATAGAGATAGAGAAAAGAAAATGTATGTTATGTGAACTAATCTAGATAGTATGGATCACTATATAGAAGAATGTAATAAGACAGAAAGATGGTTTAATAAATTAAGAAGTAATAGGAAGGAAATAAAGGAAAAGATATGGAAGGTAGATTTAACAGGAGAAAGAGGTAGGATATTAAAAATGATATAAAACAAGAAGGAGAAAAGTCTACAGAAAAAGAGAAAAAGATAGAGAAATCAAATAACTAATCTAGAATAAGAATAATTACAGTAGTATATTGTACTACATACATTGTATATTGTAAATAATACACATGTGCATATATTGTAAACAGCGTAAATAACATCTTAGCAAGGAACAGAAGAATAAAGTAGACAAGGAAGATTAAGTTATAAGTAATAAGACAAAGCATAAGTTATAAGTAATAAGGCATAGGCAAAGTAAGAATAAGGGCAATATAGGATTAAGGTAACTTAAGTAGAATAGGAAAGGGATAGGAAATATAGACGAGGTAGGAATGGATGGATAGATGAGTGTGGATAAGGAAAATGTAAACCAAGTCCCTTCTTGGCAATAAGCTGAAGAATGAATAAATATATATATATATATATATATATATATATGATAAGTATTTCTGGATTATTTTAATTTATAGAAGTGTCTAACAATTAAAAGCAAAACGCTCGTATGCGGATAGGGTGAATCAAATTAAACTATACTCTATTTTGTCAATCTCACAGTATTTATTAAGGAATTAACTAAACAGTATTAGTGAACATATGCATAATATAGAAAGATGATCTTTGCAAAGTCTCATTCAGAATGATTCGAATCTGTTGATATATAGTCTGATAATCTCCTAGCAAAATTGACAGATCATGATAGACATTGGAGTTGTGCAGTTAATATCATGCACCTCTTGCTGTTGCCAACAGATAATCAATAAATTCGAGCTATTTTTTATATTTTACAGAACTCATCCACCTGTTTCCTGTTCATTCATTAACATTCTTTAATTAATTCCTTCATAACTATTCTGTAATTCATAAAATGATACAGAATTTTCCTGTTCATTTTAGTTCACTTTACCTACACACAAGTATTTTATTTTATATTGTTCTTAATTGAGTATTTTGTTCTTAAACATTCTAATCTCTCTATTACAATTATCAAATAACTCCCCCCTTCTAAACCTTTTAAATAATATATAATATTAAAAAAGAGGAAAATATATTTCCTCTTTTATAAAATACTACCTTTTTATTATTTCACCTAAATTGAATATATAATTAAAAGTTTAATTAAAAACACATAACTTAGGATAATTAACTTTTAACTTTAACAAGTTAATTTAATTTTCTAACTTAACTTTTAATCGAGTTAGTTGTCTAAATAATTTTTAATATAAACTCAGTTAATTTATAAATTGTTAACTTTAAAATTTTAAATTTAAAATTAACTTGTAAAAAAATTATCTTACTGTTGCAAAAAAATTAACTTACTTAACCCTGTCAATATTTATTATTTTTAACAAAATAAGATAAGTTTAATCTAAAGAAATAGTCTATTGAAATCTTTCAAATCAATAATCTCTCTTATCTGCTCTGATATATCTATACAATTAATACCTACTTGCATTTCTTATCGTCAAGTTTAAAAAAGTTCTACTATAACCAGAAAATTTTTTAAAATTCTAAAAAGCTCCAAGAATAAAATAACCTTCTGTTTAAATTTGAAGTCAAAAAATAGTTATAAGTTATAAGAAAAATTAATAAACCAGACATCTCTCAAAGAAACTCTGAAAAGAATCAGAAAAAGGGAACTAAAAAATATATCATTTTTAATTCTAGAAAGTCAATAAATATTGGACATGTTTCTCAGTTTTTAAGTTGGTATATTAAAAGTTTAGTATATTCTTCATCTATAAATAATATATAAGAATTATATTAAATTATATTACAAAGAATTCAAAATATGGAATAGAATACAATTACATAGAATTCAAAATTCAGCTAGACTAATTCGAAGAAAACCAAGAATTTTTTAAAGAATTTGTAATTCCATAATAAAATATTAAATGTGTGCAGAAATGAATTGAGGCCATATAGAACATCTTTAATAATATCAAAATAATAATAAAATTATAATATAGTAAGATACTTTTTTATTAAACATTATCAAATTGTTTACTAATCAGCTTTTATTCAGTATAGTGAATACCATCTACTTTATAAGTTTTAAATCCTTTCTTTTAATAACCTATAAATAATCTCATATTTATGATCTCATCATATATGTTACATATATAATGTGTACATATATATTTACTGAACAATTTTTGAACTATGTTTATTAAAATTTCCTCTATTTTGTGAGTACTATCTGCCCTTAAAACTTTTTTTTAAACATCTTGTATAATTAATTATTTCCTCGAAATAGTTATATATAATCACATATATGGTCACATAAAAATAAAATTTAACTCTAATTAAGGATTATACATAATTACAGATAAAGTGTTTAAAAAAAAGGATTCAGGACTTTAAGAACAAATAGTATTCATGAAATGGAGGAAAAAAATCCTAGAACAATATTAATTAAAAAATTATTGTTGGAGTTATATAAATGATTGTTTATTTTAATTAAAGCAAGTGACTCACTTGTTTTTGGTTCCTTTGTATTCTCTGATATAAATTGTCTGTATTATTTATCAGTAAAGAGTATACCATGCTTTAGAGGAATCCCTACGAAGTGTCTTTTCGCTCTTGCTTGGATTGTAAACATCTATTTTCTTCACATTTATACACATGCTTTATCAAGCAATTGTTAGTCATATCAGTGAACAGTGAACAGTTACAGAGAGCTATAACATAGTTTTCACAGTATGGTATATTAACATAAGTTAGTTATAATATAATACAGTTAAATTACAACACACTGTTATCAAATCTTCTGTCAGCTTTATAAGCATGTCAGAAGCAAGTAGGTCACTTGCTTTAATTAAAATAAATAATTGTTTATAATAATCATTCATAATTACAATAATATTAATTTCCCAAACTATATTTATTAAAATGTCTTTTTTTTATTTTATAAGTACTATCTCTCCTTAAAATCCTTTTTTAAATATCCTGTATAATTAAATGTTTCTCTCAAATAGTTATTAATAAAAACAATGACACATATGTCTCTAACTACAAAAATTATTATATTAAAATAAAATAAATAATTACAATAAGTAATTTAAATATAAATAACTATTTAAATAAATATGCACCAAAGAATTATCATTTATTTAAAAATAGAAAAAGTCACTCAATTCACAATCTTAATTAATATATTACCTTTGATAAATATTACTTGAATATTTTACAGTGTTTATTTTCTAGGTATCCTAACTTCAAGAACAAATATTTAAACTTTTTGTTTTGTAGTATTATTCATAACTCATACTTAAAAATTTTAATATCCTTATTTATGAAATCCTATAAGTAACATTTATTATTTGAAAAGTGAAATAAATTTACTGAAACATAACATTTTGTTGAATAATTAATGAATTTTTTGAAACTCTGATGTATATTAAAAATACATTTAACAATATAATTACTTTAAATATGTCATCTTTATTATTAACAAGCACTTTTCATAAGAATATCAAAAATAAGAATTAGAAGTAAATGTTACCAAAAATATATATGAAAAAAGCATAATAAATATAATTTAATTAATTAATATGAACATAATTGATTTTAATTTATTTTTTCTGTTTTAGAGAAACATTGTTTACTCTTATCTCTTAGGGTATCTTCTATAATTATTTTTAATAATTATCTTATTTTTATTAATATTCTTATGTATCTTATAGATACATTTTAAAAATTATATTATTACTGAATAATGACAAAATAAAATATAATTTATCTGGTAATTAACTCCAACCAACTTTTTAATGGATAAAAATGCTATCTTATAGAAATATTTTATAATTAAAACAATTTTAAAAAGGTTAGGTCGAAAGATTTACTTACACGCACTTTCACACATTCAGAAACATTAGTCATTGCAATTCAGTTGACCTTGTATGTAATGAGGTTAGACACGTCATTTGAGTTCAAAAAAATATTTGAAAAATCACAAACTACAGATATTTTTATTAATAATAAGAAAAAGTTTGAATCTCTTGCACTTCGATATTTTCACTTTAAATTTTCCAATTAAACGATGCAAAACAGAAGTTGATCCAATAAAAGCTGTAACACTGAATAAGTTCCGATATTTACTATTGTTTACTATCAATAACTATGTTCCGACACAGACGAGATACTGTAGAAGACTGTTAGCCTTACGGAATTTAGCGTATGAGAGAAATTTCCCCGAGTGCTAACGCCCTCTTAGGAATATCGTGGCCGGAATATGAAGTAGCTCAAACAAGCATAGATGAGAACAAATATGAAATAGAGAGAAAAAGGTATCGGAAAGTATCAAAAGAGTAGAGTTTCCAATCCCGGATACAATTTAGGATCCTGGGATTTCGGAATTTTTTAGATTCCATCCTAGGATCCCGGGATTATATATATGTAAAGAAAGAAAAAACTAGTCCCGGGATTATACAGGGTCATATACAGGGAAAAATATTGGACCCCCCTAATATCTTCAGTTAGAATGCATTTTGGAGAAAATGTCCAATAGCAAAGTTATATGGTTTCAAGCGGGGAGTAAGATGATGACCTTGACTTTGAGCTCGACCATACTCTTCAAGGTCATTTCAGGGTCAACCTTATTTTTTTAAATGGAACCCCCAACATTTCATTACATATTCTTATAGCTTATCTCGAGAGCTTTCCAAAACATCATAATAAAACATTTTTTCATTACTTTTAAGTTCATTACTTACAAGTACTTTTTGAGTTATAAAGGTTTGAAATTAACAATTTTTTGACACAAAATGTAAAATATCTTGTAAAATATTATTTAGTTTTCAGTAATCATAACCTTAATACTTTTGTGCGCGAAATAATGAGATCAATTAATTGGTTTAAGGAAAATACATTAATCGAAAAGTATCGGCTCCCCTTAATATTTTCAGTAAGAATGAATTTTGGAAAAATGTCCAATAGCAAAGTTGTACAGCTTCAAGCGGTTATGCTAGTAGGCTATGACGGAAAACTGCCCGAAGGTGATCGCGAGAAGCTGCTTGAATGCGTGATGTCCGAAGGCGTTAGCGGGAATCTGTCCAAAAGCGTTGGCGGGGTCGATCATTATTGTCTCACTCTCGCAGGCACCACTAGTAATACAAGCTCTTGAGCAAACAATGCGGATCACTGATTTGAATCTTTGATGCAGTGCTGTCTTCTTCTTAGCGAGCAACAGTCACCTCGTGGACGAAAACGAACAGCCCCAAAAATTGTTTCTGTAATAAAAGAAGCCATTGCGCTTCAATTGATTGTCCCAAACATCTTCATTTTGTTTCCAATAGCCCAGAATTTTTTCATAAATATTATTAATTGATCTATTAGATTTTCAGTTGCTCAACGAGCTTCTTGCTAGTTCTGGTTGAAATAAATAAATCGATAGTTGGACCAACACTTAATAATTAGTATTTTTCTCTACTTAATTATTTAGATCAATTTCCTATCACTTACCTGATTAATTCTTCTCTGCTCTAATTAAGAATGGCGGAGCTTTCTGAAAGAGATCGAATAACACTGTTAATGATGCGAGGAGGGGGAGATCAATAAAGAGGATATAAAATAGTAACGCGATTATTTAATGAAAATTTTCGGAATGAAAATAATAGGATCTCCAAAAGTACTGTAATCCGTACTATTCAACGTTTCGAGGACATTGGTAGCGTTAAAAGCTGTCCAAGATCTGGTAGACGTAAAACAGCAACAAATAATGATAAGGCATTAGATGTTTTACAGTCTTTCGTTGAAAGTCCCCACATTTCCATCGATCGCGTTGCACAAGAACACGAAATCGGTCATGCATCTGTCAGTAAAATTCTCAAATTGAATAAATGGCATCCATATAAACTCCATTTGGTCCAAGAGTTGTCCGAAGACGATTTTGATCGCATCGAATTTTGTGATCTTATGATGGAGATGATTGTCGACGATCCTCTATTACTTAATAATATTGTTTTCTCTGATGAGTCAACATTTGAACTGACTGGAAATGTAAATAGACACAATTGTAGATACTGGAGTGATGTTAATCCTCACTGGAAAAGAGACAATCATACCCAATATCCACAAAAAATTAACGTATGTGTTGGTATTCTTAATGGTAGACCAGTTGGCCCTTTCTTCATTGAAGGCAATTTGACAGCACAAGTATACACAGTCATGCTTCGCGAACAAATTGTTCCAGCTATTCGAGACATAGCTGGTGGAAATGTGGATGAAATTTATTTTCAACAGGATGGAGCTCCACCTCATTATGATGTCATTGTCCGTCAATATTTGAATGAGGTCTTTCAGGACAGGTGGATAGGGCTAAGGGGTCATATTGAGTGGCTACCTCGGTCTCCGGACTTGACCCCACTTGACTTTCTTTTGTGGGGTTACTTGAAAAGTAAAGTTTATGCCACCAAGCCTCAAGATTTAGATGATTTAAGAAGGAGAATAACTCGAGAGATAGAACTAATACCGCCGGAAACGTTCCGGAATGCGGTTTCAGCTGTTTATAACAAATTGACACATTGCCAGGCTGTCGAAGGGCAACAATTTAAACATTTGTTGTGAACTGGCAACTGGTCGGAATTACACACCACTCTTGCCTTAACTGGTCGGAATCACACACCACTTTTGCCTTAACTGGCCGGAATCACACACCACTTAACAAATTGTTAACTTCAAACCTTTATAACTCAAAAAGTACTTAATGAAAAAATGTTTTATTATAGTGTTTTGGAAAGCTCTCCAGATAAGCTATAAGAATATGTAATAAAATGTTGGGAGTTCCATTAAAAAAAATAAGGTTGACCTTGAAATGACCTTGAAGGACATGGTCAAGGTCAAAGTCAAGGTCATCATCTTATTCCCCGCTTAAAACCATATAACTTTGCTATTGGACATTTTCTCCAAAATGCATTCTAACTGAAGATATTACGAGGGTCCGGTACTTTTCGATGACCCTGTATATATGAAAAGAAAGAAACAAGGAATATTTATAAATAATAGAATAATTTTATTTATAGAACGTCTATAAACTTTTATGAACATTATGACAAACAAAAAATAAAATTTCAATAAAAATGAAAGCAACTTACATTAATGATTGCACAAAAACCGTTATAATTAAAAATTAAACTTTTTGTAATAAAAATAAAAATAATTATTTCTTCTTTTTTGCATTTGAAAAAGCGACTTTAAACATAATAAAACATAAATTTTGTTAAAAAATATCTAATCGAGGATCCCGGATTCGAATCTGTGTTGCGCCAGTTTATCCACCAAATTTAAAATAGAAAACTCCCTTAATATTTAAAACAAATAAAAATAATATGTAACGAGGAGTTTTACCCCCGTTACCATCGTGTGACGGCGACCACCGATCGTCACACGATCGCGAGAAATCATCGCTAAGCGCCCGGCACCTATGCTGCGGCAACCCGCCAGACCGCCGGAAAAAGCCGAATTCTGCGAAGCGGTCTGGGAAAATCGGTCCCCCCAGAAAGAGGTAATTCGCGGAAATCGCATGCGCGACTTTCCGGGAAATCGGGGGGAACTAATCCCCCGATTATCGGCCACCGATCGTCGAGAGGAATTTAGGGTATAAAATCCGCTCTCGACGAGAGATCGAGGCAGACCGTGAGAGACAATGAGTCCACCAGATCAGCTACCAAGGAGAGCTCCAGCGAGAATCGTGAAGAGAAGTCGACGAGAAGGCAAGGCATCCGCCGGTGAGTAAAGCTTCCACACCGTACCGAACCACCGGGAACTTTTACAAGACCCGGCAGCCGAGCCTCGTCGGCCGATCAGGCATCGCGACTTTACCGTACTTGTCCGTCTGTGTCGGCAGCAGTTAGCCACCGACATAGAATATCTCTAAGTCTCCGTTCGCGAGATTACCGTATTCATCCGTCTGTATCGGCAGCAGTTAGCCATCGGCACAGAATATTTCTAAGTCTCTGTTCGCGAATTTACCGTATTCGTCCGTCTGTGTCGGTAGCAGTTAGCCACCGACACGGAATAATTCTAAGTCTCTGTTCGCGGATTTATACGTATTCGTCCGTCTGTGTCGGCAGCAGTTAGCCACCGACACGGAATAATTCTAAGTCTCTGTTCGCGAATTTACCGTATTCGTCCGTCTGTGTCGGCAGCAGTTAGCCACCGACACAGAATATTTCTAAGTATCTGTTTCCGAACGAACGGCCGCAGTTAGCCGCCGTTCCGCGATTTCTAAGTGTACGTCCGTCTGTGTCGGCAGCAGTTAGCCACCGGCACAGAATATTTCTAAGTATCTGTTCGCGAATTTACCGTGCCCGTCCGTCTGTATCGGCAGCAGTTAGCCACCGACACAGAATATTTCTAAGTATCTGTTTCCGAACGAACGACAGCAGTTAGCCGCCGTTCCGCGATTTCTAAGTATTCGTCCGTCTGTGTCGGCAGCAGTTAGCCACCGACATAGAATAATTTCTAAGTTCTGTTCGTGAATATAAGTGCTCGTCCGTCTGTGTCGGCAGCAGTTAGCCACCGACACGGAAGATTTCTAAGTATCCGTTCGCGAATTTACCGTATTCGTCCGTCTGTGTCGGCAGCAGTTAGCCACCAGCACAGAATATTTCTAGGTATCTGTTCGCGGATTTATACGTGCTCGTCCGTCTGTGTCGGCGATCGTGGCCACCGACATCGAATATTTTCTAAGTTCCTGTGCGCGGATACCAGTGCTCGTTCGTCCATGTCGGCAGCAGTTAGCCACCGACATAGAATAATTTCGAAGTTCTGTTCGTGAATATAAGTGCTCGTCCGTCTGTGTCGGCAGCAGTTAGCCACCGACACAGAATATTTCTAAGTATCTGTTCGCGGATTCATACGTGCTCGTCCGTCTGTGTCGGCAGCAGTTAGCCACCGGCACAGGATATTTCTAAGTATCTGTTCGCCGATTTACAAGTGTTCGTCCGTCTGCATCGGCGGCCGTTGGCCACCGACGTAGAATATTCCCGAAGCATCGGTTCACGGAATTATCAGTGCTTGTCCGACTTTGTGACCGTGGTACGCTGCCCGGAATAAACCACCTCCCGCTTATCCAAAGAACAGCTGGCGTAAGTCGCCCTCAACAGGACTCATGACCGAGGACGTCGGACCGCC